CATTCCCTAAAATTAACCTAAACTTTACTTACAACTTCGCACTGTATGTGCACGCCCGCATGTGGTATTTTGTGGAAGAGCCACACTCAAAGGGCTAAAGAGCCACATGTGGGTCGCGAGCTGCGGTTTGCCGACCACTGCCCCAGCCGGTTTGGCTCAGTGGATAGAGTATCAGCCCACCCTCAGATTGAAGAATCCTGGGCTCGATTCCAGTCAGGCTTGATCCCCAGCCCTGGTCGAGGCCCATGTGGGAGGCAACCAATTGATGTGTCTCTCTCACATCAATGTTTCTCTCTCCGTCTCTCTCCTCCTCCCTTCCCCTCTACGATTAACATTTGAAGGCAACATCTTGGAAAACACAACTTGCAAGACTTTTAATTATAAATGTGTCCAACAGAAGGGAGAAAAAACAACATGGTTTTCAGTTTCAAATTTTATTAAAGTACAGAGTTAACAAGTTTTGAGTTTTCTACATAGGAAAAGACTGGTCAACTTCAGACCCTTCATAGAAAAATTAGCATTCAAAAAACAAATATAAGTCCATAGTTGCCTTTGTGACTAAAGGGGGGAAATGTTTAAAAGTTACCAAAACTCTAATCATATCTGAGACCATTATAAATTTCAGAGTAGATTTACCACTTATATTACATTTTTAAAATTCTAATACTGTAAAACATAACCACATAATTTGGCTACAGCTAATTATTTCAGAAAAGTTTAAAAAATTAACGAAGTTATGACTATAAAATTTTTGTAGAATTTTCTTTGTAAAGTAAAACAAACAAAAACCCTTAAATCTTTAATTAATGAAAACAAAACAATCCTCTTAAATTTCTTATAAATAGCTCTCAAGACATATATTACACATCTGCTTTCCTTACCTGAGAGGATTTCCCAGGATCCTTCACACGAAAGGATTACCTTCAAGAATTCTTCCATACCTTTACTCACATATATATCATTAAACTCCTATAAAAGTGAATTTGGATACATGTAGTCTTAATCCACCCTTCCCCAATTAAGATTTTGCTGAAAGAATTTTACTTTAAAACAAAACAAAAGATGCCTCTTTGGTAAAATGAACATCTCTGCAAATGATTTACTGAGGAAGAAAAAAGAGAAAGATCTTGAAAATGTCGAGCATTAGTTCCGAAGATCTGTGTAAATAAATAGCTCTCCGACCAAATTAAGTAGATCTAACCTTAGAGAGCCCATCTCTGCCTGAAATGCAACACTGTATTAAAACGTCTGAGTCTTGCCCAGCTGGTATGGCTCAGTGGTTGAGTGCTAACCTATGAACCAGAAGGTCGTGGTTTGGTCAGGGCACATGCCCGGGTTGCAGGCTCCATCCGCAGTAGGGGACATGCAGGAGGCAGCTGAGAGATGATTCTCATCACTGATGTTTCTCTCTCTCTCTCTCTCCCTTCCTCTCTGAAATCAATAAAAAAAAAAATTTTTAAAAGTAAAAAATAAAATGTCTGAGTCTTTACAACTGTATTAAAGATGGCAGGAAACACGACGGCCTTAAGAACAAAGCCACAGGGAGTTCGTGCTATTGGCAAATTAAGAAGGATGTTCTACAGAGAATCGCGTGGCTACTGCACTTTCCCTGGTTGAAGAAAGAAGGCCCAATGTTCTCTCTGTGCAAACAGGGTCTTAGCCCACGGGCACCCTTTCTTAGTTACAGGATAAACCCTCTTTCCTTTCCAAGAGGGGCAGTACACGCACGCACAGCAAACTGAGAGGCTATTCAGAAAGGCAGTTGAGGGAGAAAAAAGCCCAGGTAGCTTAAATGCAGGCTCTGCATTCCCTTTTTATAGGTAATATGAAGCACCAATGGTAGTAAACTTCTGGCAAAATTAAGCACATAATTTAAATTTCTTTGTTAATCCTCATTGAGGATATTTTTCCATTGATTTTTAGAGAGAGTGGAGGGGAGGAGAGACAGGGACAGAGACACATCGATGTGAGAGATACATCAATTGGTTGCCTCTCGCACATCCCCCGACCAGGGCCAGGTATTGAGCCTGCAATTGAGGTACGTGCCCTTGACCAGAATCAAACCTGGGACTCTTCAGTCCGTGAGCTAACATTCTATCCACTTAGCCAAACCAGCTGGGGCAACACAGAATTTTTCAAAGCCATATTAAAAAGGCAGAGGGTGACAAATGGGTGGGTGGAACTAGCACTAGGTAGAGGTCACCCATAATGAAGAAACTTCTGAGGAACTAAAACTAAACACTTTGGTGTGGGAGCCCCCCTGCTGGCCATTCCTGACGGGCACCAGAGCCCAGGTCCCCAGTGACCTCACTCTCCCACAGCCACAGAACACAGTCCTTACACCACCAAGGAGCTCCACATATCTCTGGCAACCAACTCCTTCAAGCCATTTCCCAAGAAACTGTGAGAATAAAACCAAGACAAAAGCAAGACCCAGTAAGGACAAAGTAGGATGTCCGAAAGCTTTGATAGAAAAGTCTCTGGCCTTCAGTCAGGTGACATGTCTGGTTATACAGCAACACTCGCAAAAGCGCCCCTCCCCCGCTCAGTCTTTTTACTCATGGAAATGGAGGGGAAATGTCCCACATTGGAGGAATAGCACAGAGGAAACAGAGTTTTTAAAACTCTTTGGGCTTTCATCACTAAAGGAATCTGACCAGCAGCTTCTAGGGATGCACTTTTTAAATTATGTACAAAAAGTCGTAGGAAGCAAAAGTCTATTATTTAAAAAAGAATTTACCAAACGAACACCATTGTTATAGTAATTCAAAGCAATTGGCAAAATTTTTCCAGTTTCTTAAATCACGATAGCACAAAAACATAGGCTTCTTTAAACCTATAGTTGAATGTTGACTCATCACCTGAGTATTGCTTATTATAATGAATAATCATGGAAGTCAACTTAATTTATATGCCCACCGTTCTCAGAGTACATCCACATCTCTCTTGGTCACTCAGAGACACTTGTTTAAATTTTCAGTTGAGAATAAAAAACCAGATGACTGTAATTATGCCTCTTGTGTCAGACCAAATTTCAGAAAGGAACTACAGGCCACAAACCAAGTCTTAAGCATCTGGAAACCATGGGTTAGCTGGGCAAGCTAAGGAAGGAAGCGCCCAGGGCCCTGCCATTGGCAATGGCCTTTTTTTTGTGTTGCCCTGAGCATCTTTCTGCGGGGGGAGGGGGGGGAGACAACAAAGGCCAGCCAAGGAATGCTTTGTCAGCCTGACCTTGACTTGCTGTAAGGACCAGTTCCAAAGTCACATAGCTGGCTACCAGACCCAACTAGCAGGAAGAAAACCTAACAAAGCTAATTACTGATACAGCCCCAGCTCTTGATCCGCCTCCTCCTGTGGTCTTTCCTAAGGCCAATCTCCCTTCCTCTGAGCCCTTGGTCACTGCACTGGCCACTGCAGCAACCAGGAAGCTGCTGCTACACACACAGCCCCACTCCCTCAACCGGTCCCACTCCCAGCACTCCACTCCCAGGGGGAAGGCTGCCCGTGGCAGCTCTTCATTTTGTGGCTCCAGATCATCTTTCAACTGCTGAGCACAAAGAGCTCCTGCTAACAAAAGGCTCTTTCTCACACACAAGTGCCTTTTAAAACTGAATCTCAGACGTTGTCAATAAGGCAAGTTCCCAGAAGAATCAATCTGTTGTATTTGTTTTCCTCGGAGGAGGGCAAAAAAGTAGGAATGAAGTATTTGGCTAATTCCCAAAGCCAGCTTTTTGGCACACTGGAGCCCAGCTGACATGGGACCCAATTCTGCCCAACTCATACAGTGGGGCACAGACCAGCTTTTCCATCTCACACCTTCTCTGCCGGGGAGTTTGAAGAGTCTTTCCATCCTGCATGAGACACTAACAGGACACCCCACGGTGTCTCCACTGGTCTCTAACAGACTTTCCACCAAGTAAACTCTTTTCCTGACTGAGAACGTCAGCACCGAACATGGACATCTTCTTGGGCAGCTGCCCGAAGTCCAGTATCTCATGAGGATTAGCTTACAAGTATGTGTTTTAGAACTTTCTGTGGATGTTAGTGACGGCTCCACTAAAAAGCCCCACCGTCTGTCCACCTTTCCTTCTAAGTGTATTTGGTCACTTCTACTTGTTTAACCGGCTTATCTGGTCAGCCCTGTCGAGGTGCCGCCTGTGATCCCCACCCCAGCAAATCTACTGCAAAACCCCACAGTGGCCATGAACGGTGTGGCTCCCTTACACATCTGAAAATCAAAAGCCCTCCGCCTCCACCATTTCAAAGGCCTCAAGGTGGAAGAGAAACTGGGGGGCTGACCTTAACACTGAAAGGGGCGCAGCAGGCTTCAGCCAGAAAGCAACCTTCCAGGTAAGGCTCTATAGTATTATTACTGTTAATAGCACGAACAAGTAAGACCATAGCTCTCCATTGTTCAGACAAAAAAACAACATGAATATTGTTCTATCATTATGTGAATAACTCCACAAATAAGAGTCGTAATTATTGCAGTGACTCTGATCAGGTAGTGATAATCCGGGGGGGGGGGGTGTCACACAGGTGGTGATAGCAAATTGTGCTTTGTCACATAACAGAGATACTGAACCCAGAAAGGATGAGGGGACCTCGAGGAAGGGCAACAGAAGGACAACGGCAGATGTGATTCCCAGCATCACAACTTCTAAGGGAAACGTCTGGGGGCCCGGAGGAAGCAGCACAAGTGGCGCTAAAAGCAGGTGCTGCCTCTTGTGCCCTATAAATACCAGGGGGCTGTGTGCGGGGTCCCGCAGGCCCAGGTGTGCACAGGGGTCTGCATTCTGTCAGGGGCTGAAGGCCCAAGATTTTGGCATGTTTTCTATTCCAAGGATAAGAATGACAGGCCACAGAAGGTAAATTTCTACCCCTGTGAGGTGTCATACTCCAAACTGTTTTGGTAAAAACGTGCAGAAGAAAACTATTAGCCTAACTTCCACCCCAGTTTTCAGAGGTAAGACACATACAAAACATAGCATCACTCAGGATCAACTTGGTTAAAATTTTCAATTCTTTTGGGATAACTTGGTAGTTTCTTTTCGAATTTCAGAATTAAAAAGCTCATCAGGTGACTTTTTCCTCCCCTGAAAGCCAGGGGAAGCCAGCTTTTCAAAAAGCGCCAGTCAGTGCTCAGACTCCTGGGACACTTGCTCACAGGACGTCCCTTCCGGCTGCAGGCCTCACACATAGAACTGCCGAGAAGGACAGCAGAGGGGCGCCACCAGCGTCCACAGGTACAGCAGCACGCACATCCAGCAGGAGGCCATCTTGACCCAGAAGATGGACCAGCTCCCGCTGAAGAAGGTTTCAATGTAGGCACTTTTATAGCTGTGGGAACGAGAGAGCCATCGTGGTCAGCGTAGGACGAGAACCCGTGGGAGAAGGTCTCTTCTACCAAGTGTCTCCCTGCTTTTGCCCCCTCCAGCCTTTCCTGTTTTCCTAACAACTGAATTCTTATATCATTCACACCCACTTAAAGCATGCAACTCAAGGACTTCCATGTGCACAGACTTGTGGAACCGCCACCATGGTCAACTTTAGAACATTCTCATCGCCCCAAAAAGAAAACCTGCACCCATAGCTGCCCTCCCATTTCCTCCCCTCCTCCTGCCCCCAGCAGTCACTCATCTACTTTTGGTCTTAATGGATTTTCCTATTTGGGACATTTTCATTCTCACATGGAATCATGTCGCCTCTTGGGACAGCTTTTTTCACTCAGCACAATGTTTTCAAGGCTTATCCCTGCTGTAGCAGTGTCAGTACTGTACGCCCTTTTATTGCTGAACAGTATTCCATTGTCTGCATGCAGCACGTTTTGTTTACCCATCATCAGTTGATGGGCATTTGGGTTGTTTCCCCTTGTTGGTTATTAGCAATGCTGCCTCTGTGCACCCCGTGTACAAGATTTTGTGTGGCCATAAACGTCTCATCTTCACTTGGATGTAATATTTGGGAGTAGAGTTGCCAGATCATGTCCTAACTTGATGTTTAACATTTGGAGGAACTGCCAAACTGCTTTCCAAAGCAGCTGCACCATTTTCCAGTCCTCCCCGGGGTGCAGGAGGGTTCCAAGTTCCCCACATCCTCAACACTCACTATCTGCCTAATTGATCACAGCTCCCTCCATTTTTTCCTTCAGTTTCCCAAGCCAGAAATTCTCAGGAATTTTCAAAGGATCACGGGGAAGCATCAGAAGCTCCCTCCCTATCTTCTCCCTCAAGAAGATGTTTGGGAAGATTATCACTCGGTTTGAAGCCACCACCGACCACCCCCAACCCCACAAGGTACTCCTCATTCCTCTTCCTCATTTCATTTTTCACCCCAACACTCACCCCGATCTGACACACTGTATCTGGCTAGGTTCACGGTCTCCCCCATTAGAATCTAAGCCCTGGCACCCAGAACAGTGGGGCACGTGGGAGCCACTCAAATGTGTGCGGAATGAATAGAAAGCACAATAAGCCTAAATGCCTAGCCCAGGTGTATCCTAATTTATATCACATTCGTATCCAGCATAAAGTTTGGATTAAAGAATAATGCAAAAAGAATCTGTATGTTGTGACAGGGAAAAGAGTCTCTATGCTGTGACAGGGAAAGCCAGGTGTATCCTATACTGCCAGGTTAATAAAAAACAAACAAAACAAAAAACCTCAAGGGGGGGAGGGTAATATGTGTAATCATATTTATGATAAAAATTACAAATGCATAGAAAAAGAATAGAAGAATATATACCATATTGTTAGCAGTGGTTGGGGGAGGGAGTCACTGTTACTTTTTATATTTCCATATTAGTTTTTTTAAAACTGTTTTAAGCTTCTGTCATGAAAGTGTGAAGAAAAAAAAGACAAAATACAAAGTAGAAAAGGGATAAATACACAATGCAGATAATGTATACAGATGATGTATTATGAAACTGTACACTTGAAAACTGTAATCTTATTACCCAATGTCACCCCAATAAATTTAATACAATTTTTAAAAAGCAGATGATTACTTAAGAATTCCAAGTACTTCCTCCATTACCATTACTATGTTCTTCAAGACTACCCATATGCAGTTAACCTTCCTATTTTTTTTGAAGTTGAAGTAAGCCTTGGCAATCCCCAGGGTTAAAAGTATGCCACTAGACTAAACTTGAACTGTTTCGCTAAAGGTGAGCACAGCTTGACTTGGAAAACCACTTAGCTGACCCTGGAGATTTGCTCTGTGCCTCAGCACCATATGGAACAGGACTCACCTTGCTTTTATAAAGACTTCCCCTTCTAAAACCCCTACGAAGGCGGGCCACTCACTTGAACCAGTTGGTGACGGTCATCATCACATAGAGGGAAGCCAAAAAGAAGACTCCGTGGAAATAGGAATAGCTGTAGACGGTGCTTCTCTTCTCATCATAAATGACGCCCGGCCCCTCTTTCATATTCTGCGGATCTTCAGTGTCTGTGAACCACAAAGCCAGCACCAGCTCAATGAGTGAACGAACACATGCACACTGACTGCTTTAGAAAAGACACACTTGCTTCAATCCAGGGGCTGTTCCATAGGAAAGATGCCAAAAGCCACTTGTACCTTAAGGCATTTTCATCTAGGCCAAAAGCACAAACCCCCCACCCTACCCCAGAACCTTCCTTAACAGGATGAGCTACCTAACATCCCATATATTTTATTTATTTATTTTAAATCTTATTGAAGGATCAAGTCAAGTTTATTTTTATTGATTTGAGAGAGAGAAAGAGCGGGGGGGAGGGGGGGTGAAGAGAGAGAGGGAGAGAAAGAGGGAGAGAGAGAAACATTAATGTGTTTTTCTACTTATTTATGCACTCACTGGTTGATTCTTGTATGTGCCCTGACCAAGGATTGAACCCACAACCTTGGCATATACCAGTAGGGACCACGCACTAACCAACTGAGCTGCTCTATTTAATAGAGCAGGGGGGAAAAAGCCATTAAAAACACAAAACTTATTATAAGCTCAGAAGAAAGTGAGAAAGAGTAGAGAACTCCTCAAGCCCCCGGGATCCTCCAATTCAAGAAGAAAAGTTAAGTTGAGGAAAAGAATGGTCCAAATTATGGTGTCAGGATCTCTTGGTATTTTCCAAATTTTCATTCCTTTAAAAAATGTACTTTCTGCTTCTCTAAATCTCACTGTATAACTTAAATATGAGCCAAAATATTAGACTGATTTCTTGCCTGCCAGAATAGCGAAACAAACCAAGAAAACCTCACAACCCTTTGGGGAGAGTATGAAAAGTACGTACACGGTAAATGGGCTGTGGAAAAAAAGTTTCCCCCTACCATTTGGTAATTTGTCCGTGAATCCCAAATGCCTACAGACTAGAGCGACAGGTCTGCAGGGCCACACAGATGCATAGAGGGCAAGTTCTCTACTCACCTTCTCCATAGGGACCGAAGCAAAAGCAACACCGAGCTACCTGAGAGAGCAAAACCAACAGTCAGGTGACTTGCTCTCCGCTTCCCACACCAGTAAAGCACTAACAGCCACTGCGTGCCAAGCCGCCCCCGTCTGAATTATATCCCAGGCCCGGAACTGCACACTTCACCCCTTCGGGAGGTGTTAACAAAGCACCTGCTCGTCCCAGATGCTCTGGGTGCTGGTGATGGGAAACACAATGGACTGAGGGGAGCTGCCTTCAAGGGAGCACACTCAGTTCCTGCGCCTGCTGTGGCAGACAGTCTACACTGCAGCTCCCAGGCTTTGTCCCAGCAGTCACCCTGCCCGAGGGCAAGCCCGTCCTGGACAAGCCACAGGAATGAATCCCACAGCAGCGGTGAAAGGGAGCAGCCACTGACTCCTGGGGGACAGGCCCGATGGGTCACATCTTCCTTGGAGCACTTGTTGGGGTCAGCAAAGATGTGTCGGGCCTGCAGCGCCCTTCAACATCACCCTCTGTCCACTCTGCCTCTTCCCTTTCTTTTCTCACTTTCCTTTCACTAACAAATCTGCTCATCAAACTACCTGGGCGGCTGCCTCTGAAAAACTCAACCTGAAACACAAAGTGAATGAGACAAGGTCCCCACTCTCATGGAGCTCACTCCTGGTGCTTCGCTCTACTCGCTACTTCATTAAACCCTCTCCAACCTCAGAGGCTGGGATGATTATCCTATTTCAGTTGAGGAAACTGAGGTCAGGCAACTAGCTTAGTGAAAGGAGCTGGGACATGAGTGCAGGATGAGAACTCCAAGGCCCATGACTCACAAGAGGCAACCAGTAGCATGTGACATCTAGGAAGTGGTGGGGCCAGGAAAATCAGCGATAGTAACGCTAAGGGATCTGGAAGCAGGAGGCCTACTTACACTTCCTGTAAAAATCAGGCTGCTCAAATGGCACGGGGTGCTGGGGACAGGGATGGTGGGATACTTCCCTTTGAAGAGCCTTTGGTATCTTTCAAATTTCGTACGAACTTACTCAACATAATAAACTTAATTTTAAAAATATCAGGTTATGAACAGTAACTACATGACTTCAGAAGTACGCTCGTAAACAGATAAGAAACACAAGTACCAAGGAGGTCTGGGAAGTGCTGGGTCCTGGACACTCTGGCTGATAGTATTTTTACTACAAAGAACAGAGAGCCAAGGACAAGGACATGGGAGCCTAGGCCTTCACCCCATTTATCCACCTCATGGCCACGTCCCTGTTTCCCTCCTACATCAACGGACCTTGCAATAGAGGGACTGGCCTTGACAGAATCTTGCATCGAGTGGCACAAAGACTCACTAATTCATTCAGGGGGCCCAAGACATGGTGTGCTGGGATCCCAGTTCTTCAGAAGCTTCAGTTACAAGAAACGAGCTCTCTTTCAAAGGGGCACCCTGTGAAATGTGATGCAAGGGGAGCAAACCCACCCTGCATGCTCCCCACTTCCGGAGGAGACACCGGACATTTTCCTCGGAAAAAGAAAAACACCCTCTCTCAAATCGTACTTAGAGACTTGCTGTTCTTTGCACATTAAATCTGTGCACAATAGGGATATTGAAACCATAAGGTACCACCCCAGCAGCTGGTCACCCAGTCGATGGTGAGAACAAATGCCTGCCTTCCAGAGGCCATTCTCTTATTCAGTCTCTTTTTTAAGTGACAGAAAGAGCTGGGGAATGATGCTGGCAGACTGACAAGCCTTCACAACGGTTCCCTCTCTCCAGGTCAGGTGCCAGAGAGACCATCCCCAGAGACGCAGCTGCAGAAGGAAGCGCCCATCAGATAAGCCAGGGCTCTTAAATCCAGGGAAAGCTATTAGGATGCAGCCAGGGCGGGATGCCAGGCAGGGTTCCCAGCCCAGCCAGGCCAGGAGCAGCAGCTGAGCTCTTGGTATCAGTGGTGGTTAGGAACACAGGCTCATGGTTACATGCTGGCAAATCAAAAGTTTAAATGACTTTGCAAAATGGAGAGAAAACCCTCATTGGGTTTTTATGAGGATAAAATGAAGTGACATATGTAGCACCTAGCACAGTGCCTGGAACATAGCAAGTGCCACAAGTCTTAGCTATCACTGGACTTTCCATTCTTGGGGTCAGGGCTGAGTTGTTTCCTGGCTGCCTCCATCTGGTTAGACCTTTTCAAATCCTGGATGTTCCAATGTAATAAAATACACTCTGCTGACCACTGGCATCTGCCAACCAGTATGATTCTTTGGACATTTATTGTTCACAATTCTTTACCCAGTGAAATGCCCACCTGATGGAACTGACACCCTTAAATAAGCTAATGGACAGACAATGCTCAGCCGTGTGGCATACAGCAGATGCGGTTCCTCCCCTTCTCCATCGTTCTCTCCTCCTTCGGAACAGCTATTACATCGCCTCACAGTTGTGCTATGCATGTAGGGCACAGGCAGGTATAAAACAGAGGAATGGACTAGAAATTGTAGAAAACCACACACATTCCATTATGACAGAAGAACAAAGAACAGCTTGACAAGGCCACCCCGGCCTCTGGTGGGAGGTGGGCAGCAGGATGCCACACAAGAGGCCAATCTTGTTGGAGGAAACGCAAGGATTTTAATCCCATAGTATATATAGGATATTTCTTTATGAATAAAAACTGTCTTCTTGAGATCATGGAATGCAGATCAATAAAGATATAAATAAACATACAAAGCCTTCCTGGGAAGTGGGTCTTCTGAGAAAAGCAGGACAGGAAAAGGAAAGGAACTTACTTCCAGTTCGGGAGCTGCAGAGCGCCCCTGCAGAGCATCAGAACTCGATCTCGTTGTCGATGTCAAACTAGGAAACAAACAGAAAGGTCAGCAGAGCACATGGGCGTGCTATGTCCCATCAGAGGAAGGGCAGGACCGCTGGCCAATGTCCAGTGAGAGACTCACGACACCCACAGTCCTCCCCGCTTAGATAAACGTAGTCTATTTAATATCCACTGTATTCCAAAACTGGCTGACTGATTCTATAGCTAATGTTGTTGACATGAATTGCATTAGATCATTTTGTGCAAAGAGAAGTTTGTAAAGAAAAATAAGATGTCTTTCGGTCCCATTATCTTGGTTTTTGCCTCTCTTTCCTTAACTGCCAAAATAATTTTCTGATTTTACTTTTATCATTCCCCTCCCTTTGACCATTCTCACTTAGAAGGGATCAAAAGCAACAGAGGAACCCAGAGACGGCAATAAAAATCCAGGGCATGAAAAACAAAGGTCACATTACTTACTGTGGTAATCAGCCTATAGCAGAACAAGGTTTTCTGTTTAGAAATTCAATATAGACTAACTAGCTGTGGATGTGATTTTTAAAAAAAAATCTTCTTGCCACTTTCCCCATACCTTGAGAGGTAAAATGTTATAAAATTTTACTTACAGGAGTAAAAAAAGTATTTATTTTCCCTAGGGGAAAGGGGGGGGGGCATTTTAAGCAAATTATACTTAGGGTTCCATCTAACTGTATAAATTTGCTTAGCAAATATATACTGAAGGCCTGCCACATGTTAGGACCTATTCTAAGCACTGGGGACTCAGCGAAATCCCTGCCCTCAATGCAGCTTCGGTGCTAATCTGGAGGCAGGTAGAGTGGTATGTGTGTGGGAGGGTGACAGATTGGGGAGTGTTGCCTAGTAGAGGCAGGAATTAGCAGGTTCTTTTCAACCAAATAAACCTCATGAGGAAACACTGCCTTCTCTGCTCATTATCATCCTCTTTCCCAAGGAGAGAAGAGATCAATGAGATGCAAATCTATATATATAAAAGCCTAATATGCTAAGTGTTCGACCGATTGGTCGACCATTTTGTCAACCGTTTTGTCAACCACTTGACCAGTTGCTATGATGCACACTGACCACCAGGGGCAGATGCTCTGACCAGTAGGTTAGCTTGCTGCTGGGGTCTGGCCGATTGGGACTGGGTGAAACGGGCCAGACACACCCTGGAGCCAACCTCCTGCAGTCCCTTCGTGGCCTCTAAAATATGTCTTCTAATTAATTCCCTTTCAATGTGCATGAATTTGTGCACTGGGCTTCTAGTAAACAATAAAAAGCCTTAGTCATAAAAAGGTCCTCTGGGATCCACGCTACTGCTTCTTTTGTGGTCCATTGAAGACCAAGAGCATCACTTTCATTTCTGCTTTGAACAGATGGATGCTAATTGAGGCCCACTCCACTCTCACTTCCTGACTCTAAGCCTGGGTAGATGAATGACAAAAACATTCCAATGGCTGTGCACCCAAGAAATTTGCACCTTGCTCCTGCATTTAAGTGTGCTATATTTTGTGCCTTTGAATTATGATTTAAGATAGTATACAGTTTCCATGGGGATAAATATAACTTTCAATTTTAGGAACAGTCAGTATCTGGAATTTTCATCTAAAAGATGATTTAAAGAGAGTAAAATATATATATTCATTTTATAAATTCTTTGCAATAGATCGTTCCAGAAAAACAAAGCTTTGATTCTGGCACTTTTGCAGCTTCACTTCCACTATCAGCACTGAAAGGGGAACTTTGTATCCTTCTTGAAGAACCTATATTCAGTTCATTGTGATGTGTGACTTCTACAAGTAGATGTTACTGTAAAATAAGGTCTTTATTCAGTCGTGGCCTTTCCCCACAAAACACTCTTCTTGGGATTATTAAGAAAATATTGTTTTTACAAGCTGTTACAAAACACAGAAAATTCTTACTGTCTGCATTCTGGCTGCTATTGACCCATCTGTTTGGTCAGCGCAAGACAAACTGTTGTAAAATAATTCCCGGATTATCCATAATCTCTTATCTCCTAGACCTAAAATGTGAGTGGTATTAACCAGGACTTCCTGTGGGGGGCGCAGGAGACTAACAGTATTTGGTTGGGACAATGCTTTCCCATAGAGAACGTCCACTACACGGCAGCATGGCCGCGGTGCCTGGTCCCCGTCACAAAAAGCCAGCAGTGGCTTTCAGGCATCGAGATAACCAAAAAGATAAGATGCCTCTCTGTACTCTGCCCAGGAACCCCTGCCCACAGTGACGGCGTGTTTCAAACACAGGTGCTCACGCACTGGCCAAATGCCCCCAGATTACAGAAAATCTCTAAAACCATGTGCAGACTTTCCTATGGGACACCACAGATTCTGATTCCCTCACACACTTGCAGGGCAGGCCTTTGAGAGGTCCCATGGCCATTCCCAGCCTTTGTGTGGTGAATTCAATTACGTTCCCGCTGCTGTGTAAATGGTGACGAACAGCTCCCAAAGGAGACCGGAGTCCTTGGGGAGCGTGGGGCAGGCCTCAGCAGGTCCCGGTGCAGAACATGGGAATTTCTAGCTGGCTGGCTGGCAAGTGGAGAATTCCCAAAGTAAGATACACCCCCTCCCTTTCTCTTAAGGCAGAGTATCAGGCCCAGAACACACGAGAATAGGTAGCCCCCTTGATTCACGAATTTTTCTCTTTTTAAGCCAATCTCTCTAATGCCAACTTACCAACCTTGTATCTATGTTCACACAGTATGCAACATGGCTGTGAATGTCCCATTTTCAACCAGCCAGCTGGAAATTTAATAAAGATTCTTTCTTAGCCTTTATAACTTTATATCCAGTTTTTGTTATGCTTAAGAGAAAATATAATCCTTTCTTGTGTAAACTGTCTAGGAATTTGAAGTAGCTGGGTAATGTTTCACAACACAAGTGCCTCCTGATAATGTAATTATGTGAGTCATCTAGCTTATCTTTCTACCAGAGTGAAGAATGGACCTTACTCCAAGCCAACACAAGGGGAAAAGTTCTGATCCATCTCTCCAAATAGCCCAGCAAAAGAGACTCAAGGAGAGGTGTCCTGAAATCGGGGGTGCAGAGCTGTAGGAATAGGCTCCATACCCATTTTCTTTTAGGTACAGTGAGAGGATTGAACTCGATTGACTCCAGAATCCTATCCAGTCTGACAGCTTGAACTTGAAACCAACAGAAGAATACTCTCAAAATCCTGAGGCCAAGGAGGGAATTAAGGAATAGTTGGGGGAAGCCAGGGCCTGTCACAAGGAGCCAGGCCGAGGGGGGTGTGGGGAGACCGGCCTATAGAATGAGCCATTGGGGCGCTCGTGCATGGGGTCCAAGCTGTGACACTTCCTCCTCACAGTGATGCCTGGAGGCAGCAGAAGGGGGTCTGGAGAAAGGGTGGCCTCGGTCAGAAATCCAGGGAGTGAGTTTGGGCCGAGCCCTTCTTCAAGCTGAGACCACAAAAGAGCAAAACACACTCACAGCAAGTGTGTCAGCAGCAGGACTTGGAACAAAGAACCAGACACTGAGGATAGAAGTCATCATGAGAGCCCCTAAAGTGGTGTGAGTGTGTGTGTATGTGTGTGTGTGTGGGGGGGAGGGGGGCGGCGGGGACAGACGCGTGTGTAGGGGGGACTCCTATACATGAATAGGTAAGAAGACAGCACAGTGAGCCTTCTATGATCTTACAGAAAATTCAGCCCCAGCAATCCTGGACTTCCATTGAAAATGGGTGATTTCTTCTCCCTTTAATGTGCATACACACTATGAAAGGGTGAGTCGTCGCGGGGCCTACGTGGGTCGGCCACCGGGCCCCATGAGGCACAGCCTGACCACGCTGCTGGCGGCCTCGGGCACCGACTCCCCAGCCCACGACGGGAGCCCG